AAATGTGAAATTATGCGATTCTGTTAATTTTAACAAAGAATGATAAAGGAGAGTGATTAGAAATTATGCAAAAAAATGATCAAATTTTGCTAAATTATGAAGGGTGCATAAAACCCGGGGGTCAGCCATAGGATAGGCAGAATGTAACAGCCCAGTTGAGTGACTGTGAGCAGCACACGTAATTGTTAATTGGAAAAATAATTGTAAATTAATGTGTTTTACCCCTACTCTATCGCTACAAATTAGATCCGAAAGAAAGCCGGTCACTTCCACGCCAGTCTGACAGGGCCACCACAGGCGGAGAGGACTACAACATCTCAGCTGCAAGACAAGATGATTCGTTTAAAAAAAAGGACTTCTCTACTCAGGAATAAGAAGGATAGTGGGGACCAAGTGGTACAATCGAGTCACAAATGCTCAACTGTGGGAAAGAACAAGCCAAAGGCCAGTTAAGGAAGACATACAGATGAAAACATGGAAATGGATTGGGCTCACCCTGAGGAAATCCCTGACAAGCATCATCAGACAGGCTTTGACGAGGAATCCACAAGGATAACGTAAGAAAGGAAAACCAAAGATGATATGGAGAGGAGCGGTACAAGCGCAAAGGGAAAAGGCGGGGACATCATGGAAACAGCTAGAAAAGGATGCATAGGACAGGCTTCGCTGGAGAAAGGTTGTTGATGGCCTATGCTCCAAAGGGAGTTAAAAAGGGCAAGAGAGAGAGACTCAGGAATAGAACTCCCATTTTCTGAGTTTGACAGATGAGAGCCTAACCATTCAACCACAAAAGCTGATGATGAAGACAACAATTATATTATTGTAACAAGGAGAACAAGTACTCGTTTGTTTGAGTAAAGTAACGCAAGTCAACACAATGATGGCTATTCATCGTGGGGGGATTATTAGACAGACTGAGTGGGTGGTTGGCAGGTGCTCTGGTGTGGTTTTCTCTTTTCCTATTCAACATCTATCATCCTTATAATCTCGGTTACTTCTTTTTTGTGTTTGTTACTCTCTTGTAACACCTCTAATCTTCAGTACTTATATGACTTATATAGTGTTGCAAGTGCCGTAAAACTTTTACTAAAACTAAAAAAGACAGAGAGAAACAAAAAAAGGGAAAGAAATAGTTTCAAATTTTACAGCCAAAAACTTTTTGAAAACTTCTCTCACCAAAAGATATAAAAATTTCATTCTAGGAGCTCTTGTAAGTCTGGATTTGACACTACATCAAGTTTAAATGGTAAATATAAATAATATGCTCATATTGTAAAAAAAAACAACAACTCCCTGCCCTGTCTAAGAAATGAGAGGTAACTCAAGTAATAATGCGGCTAGATCAAAAACAGAGCTTTCAGGGGTTTTTTTTGCTTTATAAACTTAAAATTGTTACTACTTTTGGCGTCTTTAGATTGCTTTCTAGTGTTAAATCAATGATTTAATGTGTGATCTAAAGTGTTACAAAATGTCACAAAATGGTAGAATCAGGTCTTCTTTAATCTTTTGGGCATATCGGGTTAGATTCTCTATTAGTAAATATAATTCAAAAGCTTTGTTTGCCTTACTTTTTATGAAAAAAAATATTCATCTACCTCGAGTAAAAGTTGGGACATTTGCGATTGTAGGAGGAGAGGCTTATCTGGTGTCAGAGGTAAAATTAGTGAGAGAATGGCCGCAAAGGTTTGGTTATTTCTAAAGCGTGAGTGTTCTTGAAAACTTCTGTGAATTTACATTTTTTGAGCATTTGATCAACATTTTTCAGTAAAGCCACAAAGAAATATGTTTTTAGATGGATATAAAAATGGTGTAAATTTGATAAAATTGCCCAAAGCGTGATAAGATCGGTTTCTTCGATTTCATTATTTTGACGAGCGCCTGATTCCACAGCACTATGGCACAATATAATGATTACAAAATAATACTGACTTTATAGATAATAAGGTATAATTTTACTTTCACTGCCGTCTCATACTCAGGTATTGTTTCTTGTTCACTTTTATTTGTGAAATTAGTGAAATGGTTTGAGTTTAACGCCTCTATCAACACTATTAGGTGATTTGAGAGGTAGGACTTCCGAGTTTAACGTCAATCTCCGAAAGGCCCAAGCCAAATGGGAATTTTGTGCAAATTTCCTTTCCCAAGGACAAAACGTCGGATGGAGATGACTTTTATCTGTTTAACATGAAAACTGACTTTATATTCGTCCGAAATTAACCATTTTCCACCTAGGGATTTGTCCTGAAGTACGCTCTGAAATCCTGGAAAAGGAAGGAAGATAATCCTCTGAATTATATTGTTTTTTCGGAATCCATAAGAATTTTTACTTTACAAATGGATCTGGAAAAACCGCCAAACTCTATCTATTTTAGAAAAAAAAAAAGGCCGACTGATTCCAATGAGCCAGTTTCCGCTGCAGTGTATAGTTTGGGCAAGTTATATATTTTAGTTCTGACAATCGTATTTTCATTCATTACCAGTCTATTTCGACAAATTAAAGAATAACCAACTCCTAAAGCAACTTCAAAATTACCAGTATACAGTACGGTATATCGAGAAATGACTTTTCAACATGTTTTCGTCGGTCAAGATATCTTTACGGGCTGAATTTTTATATTTTCAAAGCTTCCTTCCATTTGTTCAAGTTTCAGCTTCATTGCACCCTCCATTTCATCATATTTACATTTAAAATTCACACACATACCCACTATTTCCGGGTTGATTTTGATCATTCAATAGCTCAAAGAAAGAAGAACAACTTTACTTTCAGTTTATATTTTATTTTTAAAAATAGCCTTGTTTCCTGTCATACATCGAATCATTAAATCTGACATTCTTCCTGGACCTCATAGAAATGCGTCATGGCAGTGTCACAGGTTCGGCGAATGAAATGCCGTGCAATGCCTCTCGAAGTGCGAATCAATAGACTCCTTGGTGCCAAATGATTTTTTAAATATTTGATAGTTTTTATTCAAACTATATTATATCATACTTAGCCTAATTAAGTCGAAATTTCTGCGCTTTGGACCAATTGGGAGGTTCCCTCCTCATGTTTACCAAAAAGTTAGACGAGGGTTTACAATGGGGGATGCAAATAATAGATACTGTAGTTTGACCCCAAAAACATTTCATAGGGGCTCTCGTGGCCTAGAGGTTAAGGTGTTGGCCTCTCATTTAAAGGTCCCGGATTCGAATCCGAGTAGCGACAGAAAAATTTTCTTCTCT